GCTCCACTGGTTTATCGAGTTTGTAATGTACCTCGTGAAGCTGATATTATTTATAATCAGATTCGAACAGGTTTATCCCAGTTGAATGCAGATCTTCATAAGAAACAACTCTCTATTACAAATTTATGTTTATGCGGTGCAGTCGAAACAAGAGAACATTATATGCTTCATTGCCCTAAATATGCAGAAAATAGAAAATTACTGAAACACATGTTAGTTAATGTTTTAAATGGTAATCAATTGTCCATGACTCTTCTGACCTTAAAAGTTCCTCTCTCAAAAGATAATTTTGTACTTGTTGTACTAGCTGTCGTTAGGTATATAATTGACACAAAACGTTTTTCTACTTTATTAACCTTATAAGCTACAATTTTTCTTAATGACATATATATACACATACATATTTATATTTATAATTATATTTTTATTTTTATTTTTATTTTATTTTCATTTTTATTTTATTTTTTATTATTATTATTCTCGCTATTCAAGTACTAATGCAGCTGCATCTGATATAATGGGCTTCCGCTTCGGGGTAGGTGGATCAGTTGTCTCCTTTTTACTTGAAATAAAGCTTAAACAAACTTACAAAAAACCGTAGCAAGTTTAGAAAAATGTATTAATGAATTTGAAAATATTAAGGCTACTAGTGATTTAAATACAATGGAGATATCTATAGAAATAGATATAGATAAATTGTATACACGTATTGATAATGGTTTGAGGTCATTGGATAAAACGTATCAAAATCAATTACGATCTGTTAGAAATTCCTTAAATACGTTCAATGTTAAATTTAATGATCAAATTATAATAATAAAAAATGATTTGATCGTTCAAATTGCGAAAAATGAAAAACATAAGGAACACGTAGATAAAAATTTGGATGATATCAAGAACGAAAACAAATAAGGGGATATGAATCAATGCATAAGAGATATCATGAATATTCATATAGATATGACAGTAAAGGTATTTAACCAATATTGTTATACGTATGCACACTGTGAATTTGACATTCGTCAAATTGTGGTGGAAGCATACGCGAGGGATTTATCTCATTTTGAAAATGTTCTAAACTTTGGTAGAAATTTACCATATATAGATTACGTTGCAATAGCTTATACTCCTCTGTTTAATGAAATGAAAAATCATAATCATTTAAATAGTTCTGAAACATCAATGATTGTTTACAAGATTAATGATGCTCCGATATGGTCAAATTATCCACGCTATGGTACAGATACTGAAAATCAATTTAAAAAACTTAAAAATGATTTGCCTGATGGTGTCTGGAGAATATATTGGTTAAACTCCATAACAATTAAAAGCGCCTACTATAATGAATATTTGTATGCAGCTGATTATGATCCTTATGACGATAATCGTACACGTGTTCTTACGTATGGTCTAGGAACTAAAATTAATCAGAAGATTGGAAGTTAGAGTGATGATTATGGCAAAAGTTTTACAATGTACAATATAAAACAGGGTGAATATTCATATGCTCTATCTTGTTATTCAGGAGATATTCGTGTTTGTACTTGGAGATGAAAAAATAAATAAGTAATGGTTATTGGAAATTAGAACTTCAAAGTGACGGATTATTTAAGACAATTCACACAGAAAAAGGGATTTTATATGCTACTAATAATAAACATACTGACATCAGGAGCAATGTAGCTGTTTTACATCAATCAATGGGATCGATTCGACGAATGGAAATGGAAGATAGGATAACTACGGTAAAAACATGTTTGATAATCTTTAACAGATTTTTGCCTGAAAGATCAACTTTCGCTGATCAATGTTTTGGTTCTATGAGTGAAAAGTGCAGACATTTTGATGAGTTTTGCATTTACATTTGGACAAACATTGTTTCCTTGTTACGCTATTCAAATTTTAAAAATACCACCAAAACCTTTTTCCCAAGGATTACAGTTAATCATTTTCTGTTGTCTCGCATACCATTCTGTAACTGTAACACAGTCGGCATTTTTTGCTAGAGCAGGCGGACATTAACTTTATAAGTGGGCTGAAATTATCTGAACCACTTTCTATAGGTTTTCGACGACTCTCTTTCCAGTGCAATAGTTTTCCAGTTTCGACAAAGTTTTCCAGTGGATTTGTGGAAAACCCTTTGAAAAACGTTTTTAAACTGAAAAATCATTCCATTGGATAGAGCATTGTCGATAACCTATAGACCCAGTTTTTTCTGACCTTCCACGGTTTCTCTCTCGAATTTTGAATTTTCAGCGGAAAGTTCTTCGTGTGAATCCCAAATCGAAGAAATTTATAGAATTCAGAACAAGGACCGAATTCAGATGAATTATATACCATCCTTGCAGTTTTTCACGGTGATTCCGAATATATATATATATCATGTAGGAAAAAATGTTTTTTGAGTGCGGAAAGGTCAGTTTACCTCAAAAACCGAGGGATTTTGGAAAATCAATATCTCAGTCCAGGAAAATATGCGCACTTTTGCATAGATGCACGGCCTCGCGAGGAACATTTTAGTATAAAAATATGTTAGTTCAGACCTGCGCTAAGCTGCGCGTTCTCAAAATACCGGAGAGAGCCTTTACAGCCTAGACCGTTTTCGAAAGAATCCATTCCAAAACTCTTAAGTTTCACTCGAAAAACAAAATTCTTTTTTATTTCATATTCGTCTGACTGTGTTCTTCCAAAT